CATCTAGATAATTTCTCTCGCAGTGATGCAAATGTTCACAATCTTTGGGCTTCTTTTACGAAACTTGTACATGAATGTATTGAACAATTTGTGCCATTGATACGCAAGAAAAACAAACGTGTGAATGCCTGGATAAGTCGTCCTACTATACATTTGCAGAGAAAATTAAAGAGGTTAAAGAAAAAACGTCGATCTGTAGGCGACTGCGTAAACCTGGAATCCAAAATTTCAGATTTGTCTTACAAAGTTAAAACACAAGTTGCAGCTGACAAAGATAAATATTTTTCAGTTTCATTACCTAGTTTCATTACTAGTTCGCCGCAGAAGTTTTGGCAAGCAATTTCCCCATCTTATACTGATGTGGATGCTTTTACCATTAATGGTGTCCAAATTATTGATGCCACAAAAATTGCAAATGCATTCAATAGGCAGTTTCAGTCCTGCTTTACTAATGATGATGGCAAACTGCCTAATTTTGTGTTACCATTACCGCCGATGCCTGACATTACCGTAAGTGAAAAGGGAATTTTCAACATGCTCTTGAAACTTGATGTAAAAAAATCTGGTGTTGCTGACGAAATACCCAATGCCTTTCTCAAAAGGTACGCTGAATGGGTCGCCAAATATCTTTGCATTCTTTTTACAAAATCGTTGAAAGAAGGACAGCTGCCAATCGATTGGAGGACAGCCAAAGTGAAACCACTTCATAAAAAGGGTAATAAAGATGAAATTAGTAATTATAGGCCAATATCACTATTGTCAACAGTTTGTAAGTTGCTCGAGCATATAGTTCATAATCATATTTCGGAATTTTTAACTGCTCATAATGCCCTATCCGAGTCTCAACATGGATTCAGAAGAGGCTACTCTACTTGTACCCAATTAGTTCAGACCGTTTACGATTTTGCTTTGACAATTGATAATGGTGAGCAGACTGACGCGATTTTTATTGATTTTTCAAAGGCGTTTGATAAGGTTTCTCACAAAAAATTAATTTTCAAACTAGACAACATACTCAAAAACAAGCAGTTAACTAAATGAATTTTATCTTACCTTCATAGCCGTCAGCAATATGTTGTATTTAAAGATAAATGCTCTGAGAGGGTTTCTGTGGAATCTGGCGTCCCCCAGGGTTCGGTACTTGGACCACTCCTTTTTCTTTTATATATAAATGACATTGTGAATGACATACCCGTTAACATAAAACTCTATGCAGACGACTGCGTTATTTACTCCGAGGTAAAAAATTCTAATGACCAAATAAAGTTAAATGCCGCATTTCAAAATGTTAAATCTTGGTGCGACAGTTGGCAGATGCCCATAAACTTTGAAAAAACCGTATTTATGCGGATTTCACACAAAAAAGAGCCCCTCTTGTTCCAATATTGCTGTAACAATATATACCTTGCTGAGGTGCAGTATTACAAGTATCTAGGGGTTTACATTACAAACAACTTGACGAGGAATAAACATATCGATTATGTTGCAGCTTGTGCTAACACAACACTTTCATTTCTTAGGAGAGTTCTCAAGCACTCCACTCCCACTGTGCGCTTGCTGGCGTACAAATCAACAGTTCTACCCATTCTAGATTATGCAGTCGTTATATGGGATCCTTTTACGTTGACTAATAAAAAGAAGATTGAAAAAATACAAAGAAAGGCAGCCCGTTATATATACAACAGTTATGGTCGCACATCTGTTAGTGTACTGCTAGCGAGAGCTAATCTTCCACCAATAACTGAAAGAAACCGAATTTCTCGTCTAAAATTTTTATATTAACTAATTAGGAACCACTATAAGATAGACACTAGCAAATTATTGTTTTTCTCCTCTGGGTATCCGACAAGGCATCGCCATAACCTCTCCATTACGCCCTTTCAAACACGCAATAACTGCTTCACGTATTCATTTTTCCTGAGAACAGTCGGGGAATGGAACAACCTAACTAATGACGTTGTTTTACAGCCATCACTTGAAAAGTTTGCCTTGTGTTTAACTGCATAATATATATGTGTGCATATGTGTGTATGTATATGTATGTATATATATGTATATATTTGAAATTGTGTAGAATTATCACCCGTGTTTTTTTACAATCCTTGCGTATGTGACTCTGTTTCTGGAATATTTATTATCCTGTACATTTTGAATTGTACTTTGTCGCCATGGTTGATCATGTATCCGTGAATTTTGTATATCAGTTTTTCCCTTTTTTTATAATTTCCGAGAACTGTACTTTGCTTCCGTATTTTTGTTCTTGTTCACCTAGGAATATTTATGATTGTACTTCCCACCCTGCTATAATCCCTCATTTGGGATTGCAGTATCTACAAATAAATAAATAAATAAATAAATAAACGCAGTCTGCTATGCAGGGCTTCTCTTCATTTTTGAGTGCTTTTTATGTGAGAGTATCCTTCGGACAAAGTTATTTTTCTAAACCACGGTGTAGTATTACCGGCACAATGGCTTTTCGAGCTGGTCGTTCCAAAATAAAGCACTGCAGCGGCGCACGCGCGTGCTCTCACAGTGGTACGACAGAACACCTATATACTACCAATACTACACTGCGGCTGATCGTATGGGTGCGACCAGCTGAGTTGTGTCGCAACTCACCGCTAGATGCTCTTTTTCGGCGCGCCACCTATCCAGAGCTGGTCTCTTATAGGGTGACACCATGGCAATTAACGTCCTTCACCTCCCCCGGAGTGAAGAAACGTCCTTTAACTGGGACGGGTAGGGTGAAGCTGCCAATTGTCTGACCGGTGCGATTGCCGGAAGATCAGTACTGGAATAATCAATGGCCACCTGCATACGCAGGAGCAAGGTAGTCGACTCCAAATGAGCGCTCGTCACCGATCCGTCCGGGCCCTCCAAGGGCGGCAGAAACCTCGGCACCCGCATGTGACCAAAGGCCTCTCTGAAAGGGGCCGAAAAGACGCTTCGCCTTGAGCAGGCTGAGTTGCATTCTGCCCCATATTGGTCTTTTGCTGCCGTTACTTAAGAATGCAATAGTGCCAACGCCTTGGAATAGTAGTATTGATAAAACGCCTTGAGGTCCCGGTCACGACGTCGTTGAAAACGCATTCTGTTTGCATTAACACGTGTCCTTTCTTCCACCCAGCTACGACACCCACCAGGATTTCCCAGGCGTCCTCTACTTCACTGGGCATGTTTCTGTAAATGGCCATGATACACTTTGTATAAACCTTCTATTACACAATCCAGTGCTGTCGGTGACCTGAGGTCGCCCCCCCCCCGTCGAACCAGACATCCCTACCGAGCACCCTGAGGAGTTTGGCCTAGGTGAAGCGCGTCAGCCGCTTCCTGGGCTTAGCTTCGTCTGCTCCAATGTGTGCCTCGATGTTTCGATGTTCTGAATAAGTGACGTCCTCACTAATTTCCCATTGAAACCCAGCCTGAATAGCAGGCGACGTCGCCACCATAACGTCGATCCAGCTGGCAGCGTATCAAGGCTTGTATGTGGGACATGCATTCGAATTGTTAAGTACAATTAACTCATATACGAAGTCAGAATATTGGCCCTGACAGTATTATCCAACCACGAGCCGCGTGAACAATAGTTGTTGATATATTACTGCGGCATCAAGGTCTTCATTCACCGCAACCACACCAAAACCCTCCGGAAGATGCAGGATCTTCCTCGATGGCCTGTGCGGGTCCAACACGGCGGCCAGACTGAATGACCCCGTGACCATACGTTCACAAAGGGTGCCGGTCGCCAGGCAAGCATGGTCGAGGTTTACCTGAATAAAAGAGGTCTGTAACCTTCTTCTTTGATTCCTCCCCAGAGTCGCAACTTCGTCATTATGCGACGCCATAGCAGGGTAGTGCTATGCCCAAGTACCAATTTGCATGTGGTAGTGGGACTAGTCGCCGCATCAGCATAACATAACAGTCAAGATAACATTGCTGTGCCGCATTGCCCCCGTTCCACTTCCACTCTATGAATCAAACCTTTCTCTTAAAAAAACAACACGGTGCATACAATCAGGCTCACGTTGCCATGCTCACCGATTGACACTCTGCCCAGCCAGGAGTGGCCTAAGTGAACGCAGCACAATACCCCTGCGATTCAGCAGCCTTTGCACGGTAGCGTAAACAAAGTACAGAGACAAGAGAATGCACACTCTCGTCGTTATCAGCCATCGCAGAGGCAGCCAATGAACGTCCACTGCGTAGAATCGTCGTGGTTGTTGATTCTGGGAGGACCCCACTCTAAATATACTCTCAGATGTTTTTCTCCCCGTGACAATACATGAACTGCAAACTGCTGCCACAGCAAGTAAGTGCTCAATGTGGTCTTTGATGATCATACTGTGACATTTAAAATGGTCAGACAATGCCTGAACGGAAATGGCGCAACATTGAATTGCCATTTTTGCCAAACCTGTCAAGTAAGCGAGAATACATTCAAATATTTCTATCTTGGCTAGTGAAGGATTGGTGTGAATTTTTGCTCTGAATTGGTCTGAGATGCCTTGCTCCTCACAACATTTGGCAGATAAACTTCACATACACAGAAAATGCCTGACAATGCTGAAGCGGTAGCACGTTGTGGTCTCCTAGCGAATGGCTTATTATGGGGTCTTGCCGTGGTCATGGAGGATGCTGGAAGAGTTGTAGAATGTGGCTCGGTTGCAAGTGTATGCTTGTCTCGTCTGTGTATCGAGAAAAAGGAAGCAACTGAGCAAGCTAGTATCCCTGGCTAATACTCGTGCTCTACTTCTATTCTTTTTTTATGGTTTCCCTCACAAACTTTGCTTAGAGTACTGTCTATATCCTTCCATCTTCCATTTTTCACACCCCCTCTGCATCAGAACGAACCTCCTTGAATTGAACTTGTTTGGATCTCAACCCAATTAGGGAACAGGCAAACAGGCTTGACGCATCAACATACTCAAGATCTTATTGGCCGAGCAGCTCACCACCCAATGCAACATTCTTCAACATTATTATATTTTACATTTCTCCTTTCAAGTGTGCAAAAGTGGCAGAACAACGTGTCCTCGTTTGTAGCACAGCCCCAGACACTGAGCTGTGTTTTGGAGCTCTTGAAGGGGCCACACCTTAGTTTTATTACTAAAGGTGTCAATGCATAATATGTCAAGCTCGGAAGACTTGAGAGGAACCTTGAAAAAATCTCTGGCATAAGGAAGAATTCCTCCCTTGAACTCGTCTCCCATAATCTCTCCAACAAGAACAGGGCCATCCTTCAACAGGAAGCAGTCTCCAGGTAGCACTTGTTGCTGCGCCTTTTTAGCATCATTATGGGATAAGTACCTCAGTTCAGAGATCCTCCTGCTTAACTGCGAAAATGGCTTGTTAGAATATCGCAGCAACTTCATTTGTCCAAGGTAGCTTTCAAAAGGAAATGCATGAAACTGATATAACGAGCCATGCTCCCTGCACTGATCGGCAAGGTGAACAACTGTGTGTACATTGTACACTAGCTGCTTTTTTCCATATAGCTCAACAAATTCTTGCCAAAATACCTGAGCACTTCTTTCGCAAAGTCATTGTACTCAAGGTAGTGCTTTGGTGACGCTAAAATTCTGATGGCCACATGAAACATTAAAAAATGCTTGTATTGAGACACAGGCACAACAAGCTTCAAGACAATAGTCCCCACATATAAGAGAAATGTGCGGAACTCTGTTGCCTTCCATCGATTCAGTTCTTCTGTGCCCTTTGGTTTTCGCTGGAAATGCATTGGAAAGGCCTCGGATGCCTCTCGCAAGCTCTCATTTAGTTGGCAACGATGAGCTCTGCTCAGTCTATTGCTGTGGCTTTGGCATATCCAGTTTGGAGAAGCCGACGCATGACCCCTAAGCAGACAAGGTGCATGTATTCGGTTGGAAAGAATGCAACCATGTCAACATCAAGTGACAGAAAAGGTGAAGCAGCAGTATGATGGCGTTTTTTTTTCTCTTGAGAATGAAACGATGCATCAGTCCGTGCTGGTGCATGGAGTCTGGGAAATGTGACCCTGTTTCCGACATGCTTTCCTTTTTGGATGCACCGCTCACAGGCATAATACCCAGTGTGGCCAACAATACACTTGATGTAGCTTCTTGTAGGGGCGTCGACCACCATGGCTTTAATGCGCACATGTACGTGAATGTCTCCTATGCTCAACCCCTCAGAGGTTAGCTTGGTGACTTCTTGCACAAATGGCCGCAAATAATCCTCTAGACACGGTGGCTTCCCTGCGCCGCAGTACGCACTGACAAAAAACAGCGGAGATGCCTGCACATTTGTTATGTGGCACAAAATTGGCCAGAAAGCAAGCTGGCTGCTTTTGTACAGTGGTACTCCATCAATGTTGCCTTGCAGTTTCAGTACACAAGTAAGTGCTTGCACCTGACGCAACACTTGACGGATGCCTTCTTCAAGACCGGAGTGAACAAACGAACCATTTTGCTCCACCTGAGCTTTACGCTCGGTTTTCAAAACGGTTCTTGCATCTTTGGGAAGGTCAGCGATGCCTCTACGCCAACAGAAGTTGAGGACGTCGTTAAGGCAGGCATGCGTCATATTATGCTTGCCTGCAATGAGTGCTTGCAGGCAATTCCGCTGATTCAACGGAAAGCATTGCGCTGCTCGTTAACGCTGCACCCTCGCCCGGCCCTGTGCGACTGTCTGAAGTGACGCCGTCATCACTCGATTCGCAGCCAAGCGAACTGTCTTCGTCACTTGAGCTACACTCAGGGCCGCTTTGCATACATAGCGGCACCCCTTCAGACTCTTCGCCGCACTCGACAAGATCAGCATCTTGTTCGCAAGTGCAGTCGTCTTCGCTCTCTGAAACTGCGTTGAACCGCTTGGGCGCAGGCTCATCTGCGTTGTCCATGGAAGTTTCATTTGCCTGCCTTCTGCGGCTCTCCGGCTCCGGAGGATTAAATGGTGCCACGCGAGCAGCACGCACTCCATCGTTTTGCAGGAAATCGCAACGAGGCCCCACGACAAACTGCGTGATTCCGAGTTCGCTCAGCGCCTTGTCGTACTCCCTCCTCACACTGCGACATGTCCTCCACTTGGAGGACATGATGACGAAACTAGATGATACGGACCCTAAAACCGCAACGTTTGCAAGCCACAACCCGAGCAAACAACTCAACGGTGGGGCCGGAAAATTTGCCTGAATAGGCCTGGAGCAACAAGCCAAAGGCCAGAGAGCATGGCAGAAAGGCTATTCCTGGCTACTATAAATATGCAACGCCGGCATGGCCAACTTTACTAGAACCTGGTCTATTAACGTTGGGCACGGCTATGTCAGGCTAGGTGATTGCTATTAAAGGCAAAAATTATTAGTAACTTAACATGTTTAATACAGCTCAATATTAGTGTAAAGAAAAAATGGTGCTGAGCCATTTTTATTGAAATGAAGATACAGTGAGATAACTTCAACATCTCGTTCCCGTAACACGGCACCGTGAATATGGCTCAATTATTCATTATGAAAACTTTGGTTTTGGCAAGTGAATTATTTTTTAGCAAGCCACCATCCATTACATAGTATATTGTTAGGTCATGTCGTTATCTATCATAAGGTTTTGTGATTTTTTCTGCATGTGTTGCACCACGGCCGCTGTTTTTTTTATCCAGTCGTTGTGGTTGTATCTACAGTTGACAGATTTCGGTGATTAATCTGAGCCAGCCCAGACTTGCGAAGATTAAGTTCGATGGCTCATTTCGCCGTCCCTGCTTCAACCCCTGTAATTTATGTCTGTCCGTCGTAAAAAGTGTAATTGTTGTTCCACAAATAGTTCAGTTGTGAACAATAATATGTGACAGGAGGTTCACAAATAATCTAGGGATCTAACAAACTTTTTCCGAAACGATCACTCGACTATTAACTATAGATAAATATTTAGATTCATGTGACAAATGTTTAGTTATACTTGAAAACATGTTATCAAATGCTGGTTTGCAGGTGAACTTTCAGTTGAGGTGGGCTTATTAATAAACGTATATGGCAGCTTGCTCTGTGGTGATGTAACTATATTTTATATTATCTATAAAAAGTTTGTGCGGTAAGGACGCGAAGATTTCATAAAGGGAAGTCAGTCCAAACCTTTAGCACTCTTCGCTACAAATGTGGAGAGCCCAAAACAACATGAGGATTCACGTTCACAAACAACCAGGGGTCGAAATTCGCAAGCATGGCGTGCGCTAGAAAGAATTGTGCGCAGCTGAGAGTCGTGATTAACAATTAAGGAGCAATATTTGACGTACCTCGTCTCAGCTAACCGACTAACACCTAAATGCAGCCTCTCTGGTTACAATAACAAAGAAGCGGGTTAGTTGGCAGGCATTTATTAAAAACGTCTGGACGTGTAAATACGGACACAAGAAAGATGGGTTTCTTATCTTTCCTGTGTCTGCGTTTGCTCGTGCAGTCCATGTTCTTGCACTGTATGTGACCCAAAAACGCACAAATGAATATAAGTCCGTGGTATTATATCTTGTTGGCAGAGCAGCATGCACGGAAACACTTCGGGAACAAACTACGATCGATATTCTTGGTATTCAGGAAGAAGTTGATTCACTTCAGCCAAGTTCGCAGTCGATTTCATATACACGTCTGTACAGCTTGGTTCAGTTAATGTGTACATAGAAAAAAATGCGATCTTGCGATATGTTTTGGTGCACGTAATGGTGGTGGTAGTAGTTAGCACAAGGACGAGGCACCTAATTTCTGCAGCCCGGTAAGAAGCTTCACAGCGCAGCGCCTGATCTTGTGAAACGGCGTAGCCAAGGAGGCAGGGCATTCAATCCCCTCCCTATTTTTGTATACTACTGTCCTTGTGTACGAAGAACACATAACAGCAATGATAGCAAACAGATCGTTGATTAGAGTAGGCTTGGTGTTTTTATTTAAAATGGAACAACGAGGAAGCTGCTGAAGTTCATGCCGGTATACAGCTGCTTTATATGGAGATAGTAAAATCAGGTTCTCTTCTCGATGTAGAAGAAACCAGTTCTCCCCACTCGGCGCCCGAGGCGCACCACCCGCAGTGGTGTAGCAAAGTGGGAGAAGAAACGTACGCCGCTATCCCAATAGCGGCTATTGGCCTGCTGGTCGCTTGACGAGGAAGCAGAAGCAACGCTGATGAAGTTCTAGATGGCTGAGAAAAACTTGTATTTACAGATTTTACAAAACAATGGACATCAATGTTACAAAAAAAAGAAAAGAAAAACAACTTGGAAATGAACCGACTTCTGTAGGGCGACCCTACGGGGTTCGGCGGAGCCGATGGTGCCTAACACCGCAAGCTCGGCTCAGAACACTTGGCGGAGCCACGGGGCCTCTTCTTATCCCTTCCTGGCGCTCCGCCCTTACCACACTCTCGGCACATAATCACCTGCTTGTCCTTTGATTGGACAGTACATTGGGTAGACTAAAAAAAACGCCACGAGGATCCCGCCTTCGTGCACGAGGGACTCATGCACTCTCCCCAAACGACACAACAACCAAAACGTAAGTAAAACAAAACTAGAAAAAGCATAGAGGCCAGGGCCAGCTTCGCGGCGCACAATTATCTAGACAGAGCTAGCCGTACTCGGTATTGCGGCCGTAGGGCGATTTCCCTCTACCACGTCAATTTCTTGACGACGGGGTTATAATCCTCTTGCCTCTGTGCGCCGTACGAGGAACCGCTCGCTGACCGCGCATATTTCTGCTTACGAGTTCCTTTGCCCAGATAAACAGGGACGCAGTCGAAGACATGCCCGATTCAACAATAGGCAACCCAGGCGTCGAACGGGCAGCCGTCACCAATTCCCGTGTCGCGAGCCCGCTTCTGAGAGTTACTGGACCAAAGCCGGTCCAGCAGAAAAAGGTCGTCGGTGACTTCCGAGTTTTCGCAACGCGCGCTGCTGATTCTGCAGGCGCGCAAACAGTACGTGGCCGGGCCATACGCCGAACCGATGCGAGGAGTCACCGCGGTGCGCGGGGTCTCGGAAGAGGCCCGTTGAGGCGCCGACTGCCCATTCCGAGAGGCAATTAGGGGGCCGTCACAACAACGTTTATAATCTCACCCCTTCGTTGCCCCGGTTGGTTCCCTTTTCCTTGAGTTAGTAGTAACTGGAAACGCTCGACCGTCTCTGGCGTTGAACAAAGCAGTGTAATATGCTGGCGCCGTGTGTCTGCGCTCGCAGCAAAACCGGTCGGTCGCGCTTCGACCGCTTGTCACTCAAGCAACGCTGGCTGCCCGCGGCTGGCATGCCCTCCCAAGCTTACACCGCAAAGCAAATAAAAGCACACAAAAATTGCCGCGCTACCAATTCTTACCGCGGTCCTACAGAGATGAATCTTTAACAAAAAAATTCCGCCATATCCACGAAGTGAATGATGATGAGTGGGCGAAGCTCCGGAGGTAAACATGGTAAACCATGAATCCTCAGTACATTTTGCCCACTCGATTTTATTACATCGCTCCCCCTAGCGTACGTCGCCGCACTAAATCGAACGATTGCCTTCAACCAATGACACGCGCCATATGTGACATCATTCCTATTTTATAAGATCTCGCGTCTTTCATCAACTACAAGTACCGCTTTCTAGTTTAAAACATCTTGCATCTTTTCATCATCAGCTACAAGTACCACTATCTAGTAAACACTACAAGAACTAAACGAGAGGTGGCTACATGGATGGATGTGGCTGTACCCTTTAGATCGAGCGGCGGCTAACGCCACCTAGCCGTAATACTTAGTGAACTAACCATTACATTTATTGTTTTTTTTTTCCTTTAAATAATGAAGTTGAGGATTTGTACTTCGCAGTGAAGGATTTAATTTTCACTCGTGCCTTGACTTTAGCCACCAATCAGATAACCTCC